TTTTTTGTGGTGGAAGGGTTTTTCCTTGAGGGGTTTTGCCCGGACGCCGGGTTTCCCCTCCATATGTTACCATGTTGGTATTTTCTGATGTATCCTGGGGCGTTCTTGCCCAATTGATGGTTAGTCACTTGCGTGAAGAACCAGGGAGGGTGTTCGTGAGTCTGCGAATTGCTGTTGGAACCATGTGCTGGATGATTTTGTGTCACGCAGACTGGTAGGATAACCGTTTGATAGGGGGCACCGCGATGATTCACGGGGCCCCTCCTTGCTGTGGGAGCCGCTCTTTGAGCACTCCCTCTTTCGTCCGTGTGAAGGACGGTCGTCTACCTCCCGTGAAGTTAATACATCACCAAAACAGTCTCACCCGATAAATAAGTGGCGTAGGCCGCAAACAAGACACGACAACAGGAAAAAAATGGACCACAACAGGAGTAGCCTTCGGTGTGTACTTGAATTCGAAAAGTCTGAACAGATAAGTGGCAGCTATTATTACCCTCAACTCCAAGTCAGTGTATCACTGCAGCACGGGGACAAGGACTGCTGCAACGTACCTACAGTACCTTCGCTTCGTGTTCCTTAGACAACAGCATCTATGTACAGCAACTCACAGCAACACCGCACCCGCCCTAGTACGACAACTTCAAGAAGCAAACTCACTTGATTGCGGTACTTGTTTGCCGCGGTTGAGCCCGATCGTGCTAGCACGTCCTGGCTCTTGACGACCGCTATGATGTGGGCGTGGTACACGCCACACAAACCCGGGTGCTCCGCAGCGGCTACCTTGGCTGCTGCGACTTTCATGCTAGGCATGGGCNTCACAGCAACACCGCACCCGCCCTAGTACGACAACTTCAAGAAGCAAACTCACTTGATTGCGGTACTTGTTTGCCGCGGTTGAGCCCGATCGTGCTAGCACGTTCTGGCTCTTGACGGCCGCTATGATGTGGGCGTGGTACACGCCACACAAACCCGGGTGCTCCGCAGCGGCTACCTTGGCTGCTGCGACTTTCATGCTAGGCATGGGCTCGGGAGCAGTGGAATGATATCAATACTCTGCTCCGACTCCAGCGGCCACTTTAAAGGCGAACGCACACGCCACAACGTTGCTGGTGCCATCTTCCGGTGGTGGATTCGCCGCAATCAAGGACACCAACTGCTCGTGGCAGGCCTTTGGGTTACCCGCCTTGTACCGCTCGATGTCGGGTGTGGGCAATTCCATAGCTAGGGGATGTGCAGGTTGTATGCTTGTGTTCGTGGAAAAACAGGAGCTGTAGTGAGCCGGCAGGGCTCACATTTGGGAGGGGACAGAGAAGTACAGAAGTACAAGTTCTCGCTATGGGTCTCCACTGATCATTTTCATTGATCATTTGGATACATGCTGAAAATAGAGTTGTTTAGGCAGGTTGACGACTGATCACTTCAAGGTGATCAAGCCTAACCTGCCTTACCGGCTGCACCACGACCACCCACCAACACTTCTATGACCCTGTGTTCGGTCAACATCCTGTCGCGGGCTACCCTAATGGCCTACAGGTGGAGATAGCTGTGGCGTGTGGAGAAGTACAACAGGGAGTTTCTCTGCACTTCTCGCTCTATCCGTCCGCTCTCACCCCTCTTTGTTTTTGTCGGCGTGTCTTAATCCCCCCCGGGGGGGGGATTTACGATAATCCCCCCCCGGGGGTGGATTAGTGTCTAAATCTCCCCCCGTCTGTATCTCCGCCCACGAGGCACCAATCGAGCCAGGACATGCAAGGCTGTGTTGCTGTGATGTAGGGCTATCGCGAGATACCTCGTACAGCGGAAACGGTGCAGGTTTGGTGCAGCCATGGCTGATGGGCAAAACATATCTGTTGTCCCAACCTGCCCCCCGGGGGGGGATTAGTGTCTAAATCCCCCCCCGTCTGTATCTCCGCCCACGAGGCACCAATCGAGCCAGGACACGCAAGGCTGTGTTGCTGTGATGTAGGGCTATCGCGAGATACCTCGTACAGCGGAAACGGTGCAGGTTCAGCGCAGCCATATGGCTGATGGGCAAAGTATATCTGTTGCCTCCACCTGCCCCCCGGGGGGGGATTTTGACACTAATCCCCTCCCGGGGGGGGATTTAGACACGCCGTTTTTTCTTTGGTTCCAGAAAGAATATATATGAATCGAAACGGAATATGGGGATGGCGGACCACGCTTTCGGCCGGCGACTAGCCTAGACCCAAAGGGGTTAAGCAGCTTCGGAGCCTTCTCGGTGGACTCAGCTACTACCGGATATTCCTCAAGAACCTCGCCACCAAGGTGCGGCCTCTGAACTCTCTACTCAAACAAGGCGTCCCCTTCAAGTACACCCCGGGCATGGTCAAGGTTGTGTCAAAACGCTAAGCGAACTCGCTCGCCCCCCGGTTTCGGTCTTCCCGCATTGGGCAGCAATCGAGGAAAACAGCCGTCCTCTTCATTTGTGTTCCGACGCGTGTATCGACGGCTTTGGCGCCTCCTTGGAACAAGAACAGCTCGATGGCTCGGTGAGACCCATCGTGTACATCAGCCGCGCTACTCTTCCTGCGGAGCGTAACTGGACCGTTTTGGATCTGGAGGCTGGTGGCAGTGTTTGGGCTATCAAACGCCTTCGCGGTTATCTGTGGTCGACCAAGTTCATAATCTATTCGGACCACAAAGCCTTGGAGAGCATTGGCAAGGTTGGGGAACACAACGCTAGGGTGCAAAGATGACTCGAATTCCTGTCCAACTTCACCTACACCCTGAAATATCGGAAAGGTTGGGCAAACGGCAACGGGGATTTTCTCTCTCGGTTGCCTTTACCAGCACAAGACACTGACAAAACCGGCCCCGACTGCATTGATGGTGTTGATCAAGCGGGTGTTTTCCTCATTTGGGCTTGCGGGCGCAACTATCAGTCGTCGTATACACCGGAGGTCCGTTTGGGTGGGCTCCGCCCACCTTGCACGGCGGGAGTCTTTTCACCCCCAGCNCTCTCGGTTGCCTTTACCAGCACAAGACACTGACAAAACCGGCCCCGACTGCATTGATGGTGTTGATCAAGCGGGTGTTTTCCTCATTTGGGCTTGCGGGCGCAACTATCAGTCGTCGTCTACACCGGAGGTCCGTTTGGGTGGGCTCCGCCCACCTTGCACGGCGGGAGTCTTTTCACCCCCAGAGTTGAAGCCCTCCGATTTTGGGAATTTTCGCCGACATCACCCGCGTCGGTTGGATGCTCTGACGGACTCAGCGATTGCCTGCGAGAATTCTC